GAGGGGCGGGGCCGCGGCCGCCCGCTGCCCGCTGCCCGCTCGGCAGGCAGCGCTGGCGGGTGTCTGGCCCTTTAAGGGCCGTCCCCGAGGAGGTGCCAGGCCCTGGTGGCTCCGGTCTCTTCTTCCTGGTCCTACGGGGCAGGGACTGCCCGTGAGGGAAGGGGCCGTGCCCGGTGCCAGCCCAGGTGCCCCCGGCCTGCCCCCATGGCCCTGGTCACAGTGAGTCGCTCGCCCCCGGCCAGCGGCCACTCCACGCCTGTGGCGCCCGCGGTGAGTCTGGCTTTGCTGTGGTCCTGACCACGCAGTTGGCTACCGGCTGGGCCCGGGGAGCACGTCCTGTCCCCGGGCAGCCTCCCCTAGAGCCCGGGGCTGTGCGGAGGAGGGCCTCAAATCTCAGGCTGGAGGGGATTCGGGGGGAGGGGTACTCAAGGCACCCAGGAACTCGCCCCAAGGCAAGATCCGGAACCCCGAGAGCCAGTCCAGTCCGCGGAGGCCCAGATCTGGGCTGACCCTTCCCACGCCCTCAGCAGCCACCCCACCTCCTGCTTCCCTCCATACCTGGACTTGGGCTGGGGCTCCCCAGTGCTTCCGGTGGGCAGTGGACTGGGGAAGAGAGAGGACTGGCATCTGACACCTTTTCTGCCCCTGCCCCACAAAGGGAATCCCCAGAGCCCCCACCCCCACCCCAGCAGCCCTGAGAGGAGGGAGAGGAGGAGAGCAGGGAGGAGGGTGCCCCTGCTCCCACTGGCCCCTGAAGGCTGCTGTCTCAGCAGGACTGGGCGTTCAAGCGGAGAAGCCGGCTCCAGCGAAGGTGAGCACCTTCCTGCCGACACAGACGCTTCCATCCAGTCCCCAGGCCTGCCCGCTGCCATCCCAGACTCCTGGTGTCAGCGTGGAAGGCTCACTGGAGGGCTCGCAGCCAAAGTTCACGGCTGCATATGTGGGCGATGTGACCCGTGGTCTGCTGGCTGCTTTGCTTTTACCTTCCCCCCAGTCAGCTGGGGCTCCTTCACCCAGTACCTAGGACTTTGGCTCAGGCCAGTAGTCACAAGTCAAAGGGCAGGATGGGACGACAGAGCCTGAGGACTCCTGGGTCTCTCTCCTGAGTTAGGCAGGCAGGAAGGAAAAGGCAACAACCTCCTCCCATCTTAGACAAGCCAGAAGAGCTGGGCCAGGGACTTGAGAGCCCCCCAGGCTGGCGCTCAGTGCGCTAAGCAGCAGCAGGAACTGGCTAAAGTGCATTCTCAGGCCCCCACTGCACACCAATCAGCCCTCTGGGGATGGGGCCCAACATTGTGTTTCAACAAGCCCTCCAGTGGATTCTGATTCAGGCTGAAGTTTGAGAAGCGCTACCCTACGGGATGTGAGGGGCCGTAACGATTTCTCCTCCACCCTGCCAGGCAGAGCTTCGCAGTGCTCCATGGGGCTGTCCTGGGACTGCAGGATGGAGGGGATAATGGTGATGCAGTGGAGGCCAGCCCTGAGCAGGTGGAGGAACCCCCGGGTGAGGAGCAGCCTCACGGAGACCAGGCAGACTGCGGGCAAACACCCCAGAGTCCCCAGAAACAGGAGCAAAGACAGCACCTGCATCTCATGGTGGAACTGCTGAGGCCACAGGACGACATCCGCCTGGTGAGGGGCCTGTTCAGAGCCCAGGAGAAGGGAGAGGCCCCCATGATGGGGGACAGAGCCAGCGTGTGTGTCTGTTTGGGGAGCAGTGGTGTGAAAGCAGGGGACATCCGATGAGTGTAGGGATCACCCAAACCCGATAACCCTGCTGTTTCAGCTAGAGGTGTTTTCAAAGGGTGAGGTCATGTCTGCAGCGATCCGAGGGCTGTGAAAGGACAGGGGAGGTTTGTCCTGTGTGAGCCCATACGGCCAAATTAGGTGCAAGAGTCAGGACTCCCATGGAGGTAGGTTTCTCCTCAACCGGCAGAAGACTTTCCTGGTAATGTAAGGTGTGTGTAAAACAGACCAGCGCCCAAAGAGGGTCTGCCAAGTCTGGTGTGCCAGAGGGGCCTAGGGAGAGGGTAGAAGCCTCGAGCACCTATGAGGGCTGAGTACAGGTGGGAGCCTGTGGACACAACCCGCTCTCCACGGCAAAATGTGGACAAGCTGCAGGAAGTCTTTTGTGAAGCTGAATTTGTAGCACAGGCACCGTTCTTTATTGTAAGATTATGTCGTTAATACTTCGGTGATAAACATTTCTTGAATGAAATGGTAGTAATAGGGTTGTTTTTTTTTTAAATCTCTTTCCTAGGTAGAAACAAAAAATAGGTGACCTAAATCAGTCTCATTGTCAACTTTTTCCCACACACTGCCCCTTTATGAAAGATGTTTGTAAAAAATTTTGTTGGACCATAAAATCTAAAAGTTGGGAACCATTGGCTTGTAACCACTGATCTTGCACCTGGGAAGAGGGGGTGGGAGTGGAGGAAGCAGGCAGGGCTGTTCTGGGCCCAGGGGTGTGTCCAGGTGGGGTGGGGGAGCAAGGTCCTCGGGCCACTGTGACTGTGGGTTTCTCTGTCCCCACCTTTCCCAGGCAGCCCAGCTGGAGGCAGCCCGGCCCCCCAGGCTCCGCTACTTGTTGGTCATTTCCACACGAGAACCTCTGAGTCAGGATGAGACAGTCCTCCTGGGGGTGGATTTCCCTGATAGCAGGTGGGAGCAGGGACAGGAAGAGAGGGGGGCGAGGAAGTGAGATGCTGGGGGACAATGGCTTTCCCTTTGTCCCCTGCCAGTTCCCCCAGCTGCACCCTGGGCCTGGTCTTGCCCCTCTGGAGTGACACCCAGGTGTACTTGGATGGAGATGGGTAAGAGGTGGCAACTGGAAAGGGAGGGGGAGGAGGGCCAGGTGGGCAGAATGACGAAGTGTGATGTATGTGAGAGGGGCTGGGCACTGGGGAACAGCAGAACTCGAAGCTGGGAGTCTGAGGCCTGAGGCTTACTCTCAGCTCTACCTCAGATTCACTGTGATCCTGGGTAAATCACCTAACTTCTCTGGGCCTCAGCCTCCCATAAATGGGCAGGCTCTCTGTCCCACAGCTTGGAGTTTGGTTTCACTCCCACCTGGTCTCCTGTAGGGGCTTCAGTGTGACATCAGGTGGGCAGAGCCGAATCTTCAAGCCGATCTCCATCCAGACCATGTGGTAAGGGCTGGGGCTGCCCAGACTCGGGCCAGCCTCATCTTGGGAGATGGCTGCAGGGCCTGGGTAAGGGCAGCAGGGAGGACAGTGTGACCCAGCCTCTCCTCCTGTCCCAGGGCCACGCTCCAGGTGCTGCACCAGGCCTGTGAGGCAGCTCTCAGCAGTGGCCTTGTTCCTGGAGGCAGTGCCCTCACCTGGGCCGGCTACTACCAGGAGAGACTGAACTCTGACCAGAGCTGCCTCAATGAGTGGATGGCCATGGCTGACCTGGAGTCTCTGCGACCTCCCAGTGCTGAGCCTGGCCAGTCAGTGCAGGGAGGGGTGGGCCTGGGGGAAGGGGGAGGGCTGGAAAGGGCAGGGGTGCCACAGTGGAAGGGAAGGGGCCCCTGACGGAGGAGCTCTGCTCCCAGGTCCTCAGAACAGGAGCAGATGGAGCAGGCCATTCGGGCTGAGCTGTGGGAAGTGCTGGATGCCAGTGACCTGGAGAGCGTCACTTCCAAAGAGGTGGGCAGGTGGCCAAGGGGCTGGGGACTGCCCAGCTGGGGCCACGAGCTTGCCTCTCCTTGGAACCCTTCCTTCCCCCTCGCTTTCCTCCCGTCCCGAACCCCTGTGATGTCTCGGCCTCAGCCCCAGGTCTGGCCTCAGCTCCACTGTCTAGATGGGAGAGGGTACTCTCCTCAGAGGCCCAGAGGGAAGGTTGGAGGATCAGGAAGCTGGAGAGCCACCCCCAGCCTCTCCTCCCTGTGGGCTCTGTCCACAGATCCGTCAGGCCCTGGAGCTGCGCCTGGGACATCCCCTCCAGCAGTACCGTGACTTCATTGACAACCAGATGCTGCTGCTCATGGCCCAGCAAGACCGGGCCTCCCGCATCTTCCCCCACCTCTACTTGGTGAGCTGCATGCTGGTGGGTGGGGTGAGGACCACTGTGGCCGGAGGGAAGGGAGAACCATGCTGCTCTTCTCTCTCTGCAGGGCTCAGAATGGAACGCGGCCAACCTGGAGGAGCTGCAGAGAAACAGGTAGGGGTCATGAGCCTGTCAGGACTACCCACCCTTTTTCTCTTGGCCTCCCCAAAAGGGGAAACCTGGCCAGCCTCTGCTTCCGACTCCCCCTGGGGCTGTGCCGTTGTGTGGGACAGACAGCAGCCTCGCTGCCCTGCTGGCCAGCCCAGGCCTGCTCTCTTCCCCTCCCTGCGCTATAAAGCAAGTGCAGAAACAGGGCCTCAACCACTCCGAGATGTGGGCAGCGGCATGTGTTGCTGAGCCTGCCTTTTTCTAGTAGAAGTCTCCTCTCTGCCTGCTCATGTCTCAGGGGAGAAGGAACTGCCCTTCTCCTGCTGGAGACCTGGCTGCCTGCTCTGATAGACACCTGTCATCTGTCCACCACGGGCTTCTGGGAGACCTGCGATAGCCCTGTTCCCCCACTGATACAGATCCACCCAATCTCAGCTTAGCTCCAAAGCTGTTCTTCAAGAATAATAGAAGGGTTAGTGTTGCAGTTGACCTCAGCTATCTGGACTAGATGGGGAAACTCAAGCCCAGCTGGGTAAGATGATTTGCTCAAGGTCACAGTCATGTGACAACTGGTTTAGTTCTCCCTCTATCACTGCTGCCTCCACCTGACTCGGAACTAAGAACTAAACAGAAAGGCCCAGGGTGTGCTGGGTGTGATGGCCAAAGAGCCTGGTGTCCCTGCCCACATCAGCCTGGCCTTGGGCCCTCTCGCACAGGGTCAGCCACATCTTGAACATGGCCCGGGAAATTGACAACTTCTACCCTGAGCGCTTCACCTATCACAATGTGCGCCTCTGGGATGAGGAGTCCGCCCAGCTGCTGCCCCACTGGAAGGAGACGCACCACTTCATTGAGGCAGCGAGGTCAGGCTCCTCCTGGCTCCCGCTGCCCACCCTTCAAGCTGTCACCAGTGCCCTCTTCCTGCCTGCCCTGCTATCAGCTCTGTTACCTTTTCCGGCCCCCAGTGTCCTTACTTCCTCCCTCTGCTCTCCCTTTACCTGCCCTTCCCCCGCTGTGCTGCAAGGCCCCTCACGGAGGGGGTGGGGGGAGCTGACCATGTTCCACCTCCCAGAGCACAGGGCACCCGGGTGCTAGTCCACTGCAAGATGGGCGTCAGCCGCTCGGCGGCCACGGTGCTGGCCTACGCCATGAAGCAGTATGGCTGGAGCCTGGAGCAGGCCCTGCACCACGTGCAGGAGCACCGGCCCATCGCCCGCCCCAACCCCGGCTTCCTGCGCCAGCTGCAAACCTACCAGGGCATCCTGACTGCCAGGTATGGAGCAGGGCAGCAAGCAGCAGGGGGTGAATGTATGTGTGTGCTGGGGGTGGCTGCTGGGTCAGTCAAAGCTGACTCAGGCAACTCCTCACAGCCGGCAGAGCCATGTCTGGGAGCAGAAAGTGGGTGGGGTCTCCCCAGAGGAGCCCCTGGCCCCCGAAGTCTTCACACCATTCTCAGCTCTTCCACCTGAACCGGGGGGCAGTGGAGAGGTGAAGGTTATCGGCTTGGAGGAGACCCAGGCAGTCCCAAAAGAAGAGCCTGGGCCAAGGCCCCGTATCAACCTCCGAGGGGTCATGAAGTCCATCAGTCTCCTGGAGCCCTCCTCGGAGCTGGAGAACACCTCAGGGGCCAGTGACCTGCCAGAGGTGAGGCTAGGGGAGATCAGTCTGCGGTGGCAGGGGAGCATGAAGAGGAGGGAGGACGGAAAAAGACCAGGACTGGCTCAGCTTTAGGCCCTGAGCTGGACCCACACTGGGATCCTCATCCAGGGTCTCCTGAGAGGTCAGGACGCTGGGGGACTGGTCCTTGTCTTCTCCACACTGTCTGCCCAATGCCTCTCAGCAACAGGCATCTTGAAATGTCCCATGAGTATACCTGAGGACAGGGACCACATCCTGGGCCCTTTCATCCTCAGAGCAGCCAAGAAGACCCAGTGAGGGCAGGTGAGGGCTCTGAAGGCACAGTCTGGAAAACTGGAGAGCAGTCACAGAATTAGGGGCAAAAGGCATCACCTGTTCTGAGGGCTCCTCAATAAGCCAGCCCCAGAATGCAGGCAAGTTTCCATGTGACCAAGGGACTAGCTTCCTAAGGGGCAGGACTGGAATGAGCATCCTTCCCAGGCCACAAGCTCCACAGCCAACTGCTGACCCTGGAGACGATTCCTACCCTAGATGGGGGTGGGTAAGATGATCTCTGAGGCTCCTCTCAAATCTGAGGAGCAACAGTCAAAGGTGAGGGAGGACAGGGGTCTTGGCACCCACACCCCCTGACTGAGTACTGACTGAGCAAGCACCCTCTCTGCTAAGTTCTGTGGGCATGAGTCTAAGACCTAAAGCTGGTCCTTGCATTAGGAAGCCAGGCCCCACATGCACCTCGAGGCCAGATGGCGACCTAAGAAAGGAAAGTCCATTGAGGATGGGAACATTTGGGAAAGGCTTCCTGGAGGAGGCATTGGGTGTGAAGGATGGGCAAGCATGGAGGGCTGATGGATGGGTGGGCATTGCCAGAGGCAGGGTGTCTTCACCCCTCACCAGCACATGCATCCACATGCCCCGTTCCAGGTCTGGCAGCAGAAGGTGTTTCCTCCATGACTCATAGGCTGACTACAAAGGCAGAGGGTCAAGAGGAAGAGCAGAGGGCCAGTGAGGTCTGGGTCTGCAGGCAGGGGCAGGCGCAGGGGGGGCTGAAGGGCTTCTTGGGGCCAGAGGATACTACAGGCAGGTAAGGGTCAAGGAGCAGGGGCAGTAAAGCTGCTGTCTTCTGTCCTAGGAAAGTGAGGACCACAAACGGCTGTTTTTCTGTTCACATTCAGCAGACATTCTGCACCTACCTTTCTGTGGGCTCTGTACTTGATGCCCCGGCCCTGGGAATCCTGCCCCATGCTGTTCTTCCTTGTACTTTCACCCATCCAGGTTTTCTCTTCCCATGAGTCTTCAGACGAAGAGCCTCAGCAGCCCTTCCCTCAGCTCCCAAGGGCCAAGCTCCGCAAGGGGCCTTGGCCTGCCCTGAAATCGCGCCAGTCTGTGGTTGCCCTCCAGAGCGCCGCCCTCGTGGCCAGCCGGACCCAGGCCTTCCAGGAGCAGGGCCAGGGGGAGGCTGGCACTTCCTCCACCCCCAGGCTTCGGAAGATGGTGAGGCAGGCCAGCGTGGATGACAGTGGAGAGGAGGGTGAAACCTGAGCCCCACACATGCCCATGTCCCCCTAGACACTAAATAGAGGCTAATGATCCACAGCTCCTCAGACAACACCCCTCACGCTTGTTGGCCTGTATACACCTCTCTTAGCTCTTCCCCTGGAGTACCCAGACCCCTGTCTCTTCAGCCTCACCTCCTACAGCCTTAAGTCTCAGACCCATGTCCACCTGTCCAAGGGCTCAAGACTGTCTGCATAACTGGGGATTTGGTAGAAAGACCGAAGGTGCCTTTGGGGGGAATAACACCCTAGTTTCATTCTCAACCCTTGCCCTGAAAGACTCACTTGCGGCCACGGAAAACAGCTTCCCAATGCTGAAAGGTCCATGCCTCCCCCTCCTGTCTGTCCCATCCCTGCTCCTCCGGCTCTCCCCCTTTTCATTCCTGGAGCCAGCAGGGCCAGAGAACCAGTGGGCCCCAAAGGCAAGACGAGCCTCAGTTCCCAGCCCCAGGAGGCTCCAAGGGGGCTGGCAGATCGCCTCCCTCACACACCTCACACCTGGCCTGAGTCTTTTCCTGCTGCCCTGGTCCTCCCACGGCACTGCACTAGGTCACGGGCACCGGGCCAAAGAGTCTTCTTTTTGACCTTCACGGCCTCTGGCCGATTTTTCATTGTCTTAATAGTATCTGGCTTTGTACTGAGAAATACACGTTTTCATATTGTTATTTTCAGTTTTATGATAATGCCATCTTTCAATCAGATCCTTCTGTTTACACAAGGAGTTTGGCCTCTCTTCACTCCTTACAGTTCTGTCACAATTCCCGGGTGGCTCGTGACAGACCTGTTTGGGGGAGTGGTGTATTTGGGGTGGAGTGGGAGGAAGAATGGGGAAGAGAAAGGAGGCGGCCAGTGCTATCTCCCTCATCTCCTAGGGCAGGGCCTGGGTAAATGGCGGCTGCCCATGCCCCTCAGGCGGGTTGGTGGTGGGAAACAAGTCTACACTGGGCAGCAGGCATTTGGCTCTGTTGGCACAGCTGAAGGGAATTACCCATGAGGTCGTGGAAGCTGCTGCTGCCTATCTGGACAAGACTAAGCCTGTTCCAACAGCTAAGACTCCTTTTGGACACTTGATGCTAGTTCTCAAGCATGTTTTGGGTCCCAAGAATATTTTCCTCCTGCTATAAAACATGAGAGACTGATTTTCCAAGCCAGCCCATTGCTGCCAGGAAAGAACCCTCAACTACTCTTTCCTTCCTGCCTAGGGGTTCCTTCTGCTTAATTTTAGTGTTCAAGAAGAGTTGGTGGTTCCATCTTTGTTGCTTCTATCCCCTCTTCACAAGACCATACTCTCTGCCCTATGACACACTATACTGGCTTTGGGGGAAGGGGCAGTGCTCAACTCCTTCCCTCAAAGTAGGTCTCAGAGGTAGGAGCTGGCACCAAATGTTCTCAGTGACTGAGATCTCCCGCCCAGTTTTAAGAATGAATCTCTCACCCAGACCCTGGTGAGACTCCCAGCACAAACCCTAAAATGCCAAGACTTGGATTCTAGCCCTGGCTTCACCACTTACATGTTACTTCACCTTGATTCTCTGTTTCTTTATGTAAAACAAAGGGATTACACCAGGAAATCCCTAAACATCCCTCTCACTTTGATACTTAAAAAAAAACAAAACATACATGTCATCTATATATTGCTAGAATTCAACCTCTAAGTGCTGTCCAGAAGAGGAATCATTTGCACCTGTCTGGGTGGCATGCCTAGGGTCACAGGATGGGGTACAGGGAAGCTAGTTCTGATTCCTGATCCACCCTGCTGAGCAAACACTGGGGGCTGCCTGACATCCTGCAGCCAACCAGGAGTCCCACCCGGACTGCCCTTTCAGTAGTCGTAGGCCGGGGCTGCGGGTGGGTGGAGGTGGCAGTGTCAGGAGGGAAGCCAAGGCCAGGCCCTGCCCTCCTGCAGTCTGTGCAGCTCAGAAGGCAGGGTCCAATCATGAACTCAGGGCTGTGGGTCCGACTAGAATCCATGAGGACTCTAAGAAGTAAGAATTAGGCAAGCAGGGAAACAAAGACTGGAGAGGAAACTATTAGCATCAATAATACAAATGATTAAGAACCATATGTATACACAAAGCTCATGCAAATATGATAAAGGGGCAACAAATAGTAAAGAAGGATATAAAATGAGAAGTAAGTCTCCTTCCCTCACTGTCCTCCAGTCTTCACTTTCATTCTTCACAGGCAATGACTTACCGGCTTCTTTAGAGTCCCTCCAAAGACACTCCATGCTTATATAATCAAATATATTGGTACATGTATTCTTTTCAAATATAGATGATAGCATACTAACATACTATTCTGCACTTTGAAAATGTTTTCATGTCATGAAGAGTTCCACACATCGGTATAAAGATTTGCCTCATTTTAAAAATAACCACACATATTCCACTTTATGGAATCCATCATTTATTTAAGTGGTCATTTATTGATGAACATTTAAGTTGTTTGCGGGTTTCTTTTTCCTCATTCCAAGTAATGCCTCGTTAAGTACGTTTGAATATACTGTCCCATGCACACATGGCCACTAAATCTGTTAGACGTATTTCTAGAATTGCTGAAGCAAAGGCTATGTGCAATTTTAATTTTGATAGGCATCGCCTGATCTTCCAAGAAGTTGCACCAATTTACAGTGAATGAGAACGTCTGTCTATGTCCTTAAAGGACTGTGCAGCTGACACATTAATATCACCTGGCAACACCCCCAGAGGGAAAAGGGGCAAGCATTATAATTACCACCGTTTTTAGAAATGAGGAAATCGAGGCTCAGAGAAGTAACTACTGAGTCTGCATAGAGCTCGAATCAGTTCCTCGGTTTCTAAATTCCTCAGTCCAGGAGCCTAACTCGGCAATGGAGAGGATGGTTCCTAGGCAGTCAACCCTCTGCTTCCACAGCCCAGCGGCCCGGCTCCAGCAGGGCTCGGAACCCCCTGCAGCGAGGGCCGGGATGACCCCGCTCCCGGAGTCCCCTCAGCTCCCACCTGATACAGGAGCCTCTCAGCAGCGGGCGCGGCCGCCCAGCCCCGACCCGAACACTTTCTGCGACCAGGAGCTCGCGTCCCTCGGGCAGCCGGTCCCCCTTGGGCCAGCCGCCACTTTCGGAACGTTCTCCCTCCGTCGAGTCCCGCTTAGCCCGGGCTAGGGCGGGGTCTCGGACGTGGCCGCTGCTCTGCCCCGAGCCAGGGCAGCCCCCCGTTAGGCCAAGTTTTCAAACGGCAAAATCAAACGCGCTGAAGAGACCGCGCCTCCGTCTCTTCACCCCGCCTTCCAGACGCCTCAGAGCCGCGGCTACCCGCAGAAACGACAGTTCGGGCCTCCGCGGCCTCTTCTACGTCAGCAGCGCCCGGGGGCCGGGAGACAAGACTTGCCTGAGTCGACCACGACGCTCGGGCGCCATCTTGCGTCACCTCCCCTGGCCTCCGGCTGAGAATCCGGAAACCACATTTCCCAGCGTGCCTAGCGTTTCTGCGCAGGCGCAAAGACTTCTCGTTTCCATGGGAACCTCGCCCCCAGAGTCCGAGCGGCTTGACTCCGCGGAGCGCGAAGGTGTTGTTTCCTTCTGAGGGGCACGGGACGGGGTCTGCAGACGGCTGAGGGGGTGAAAGTATGTGGCTTGAGGGGAGCAGGCCAGGCCAACTTCGTCTCCCGGGACCAGCGCTCCCAAGTTCTGCTGGGCGTCCCGGCGTCCGCGCGCTCCTGGGGCATCGGCGTCCTGAGGTGAAGGGGTCCGGGTCGGCCCGGGTCGGCGAGACCAGGGTCCGGCTCTGGCCCGCGCAGGCCCACTCGTCCTGACCCAGTGCTTTGTCACCCCCAGCCGAGGGCCTACGCGCCACCGACAGGTACTCCTGGGGCAGCCGGCAGGGATGGTTGGCGCTGCAGGTGAACGTGGAGGTAGCGTCGGGCAGGGCCAGGAGCTCGCCCAGGGCTGCACGCGGCTCTGCGTCTGATGGATTCGGGACCTGGGGCGACTCCCAGCTCCTGTGGGGTTCAGGTTCCCCGCTCTGGAAGATTCTGGTGCCCGTTGCGATTCCGTTGCAGAGCAGCCCCCGGCTCTATGTGACCTAGAGAACAAACTCTCTCAATCCGTTTCCTTCTCTGTGACATAAAGCGGTTGAAGCAGACGATCCCTAAGGTCCCTTCTAGCGGTGTGTTTTACATGCAGCTGAGTTCATTGCCCTTTATTGCACACCAAGTGCAAGAAGTAGGAAAGGGAACTGGTGTGGTTTGAGCAAGAGTCTCAGCTTGAAATCTGGAGTCACTTTGGGCAAAGTTATTACATCTCTTGACCCCCAGTTTCGTTATTTGCAAGACTGGGAATAATGATAGTACCACCTCAGGGTTTTGAGGATTAAGCGAGATAATGCACCTCGGTTTTGGGGGGCTTTTGGTGGCTGGCCGGCTCGAGGATCAGAACCTGTGACCTTGGTGTTATAAGGCTGCCCTCTAACAACTGAGCTAGCTGGCCAGCCCTTTTAACTATCACTTCTGATAATTTAAAAAACATTCTTTAGCCACTGTAAAACCTTTTCCTAACTTGGGGGGGGGGTGTCGGGGAGGGTGGCTGGTATGAGGATCCGAACCCTTTTTCCTAATTTTTGAAGTCACTTCCTTTATTTCTTGGCAAATCCATTCTCCTAGGCAGGATGGTTTTATAGGCTGATTCTGAGTCCTTTATCCAGGTTGGATGCTCAAGGCCAGTGTGTATCTCCTCTCTTCAGCTGTTGTCTGGATTATGTAATTACCATACAGCATCTAGGGAGAATGAAAGGCCCAACACCATATAGTAGGGACGATTCTTTCGATTTTTTCATTCCTTAAGATTCACAGAGGAGCGTAGCCTTATGACACCAAGGTCATGGTTCCTATCCCCAAACCAGCCAGCCACACACACACACACACAAAAAGATTTGTAGAGGATGTGAGCACATACATGTTATGGTGCAAAAACATATAAATATTGAATTATATTTAAGACTGGATACACACACAATTTTAAAGAATATGTAAGCATCCTGTGTTGCTTGAATTGAGTTCAAGCTTTGTGTTTTTTTTTTTAAAAAAAGATGACGGGTAAAGGGATCTTAACCCTTGACTTGGTGTTGTCAGCACCTTGCTCACCCAGTGAGCAACCGGCCATCCCTATATGGGATCCGAACCCGTGGCCTTGGTGTTATCAGCACCGCACTCTCCTGAATGAGCCACAAGCCGGCCCCTCAAGCTTTGTGTTAATGGGGAATTAACAAGGAGCTTTGAATTAGTGATAAAAATGTATTTGCTATTTTTTTAAGTCTGGGAACTCCCAGTAGCTTCACAAACAAGACTCCATTTATCCAACAAACATCTTTATGGGGAAGCTGCATTCCATGAACATTTTTTGATGGCCTTGGTGTTATCAGCCCCGCACTCTCCTGAATGAGCCACAAGCCGGCCCCTCAAGCTTTGTGTTAATGGGGAATTAACAAGGAGCTTTGAATTAGTGATAAAAATGTATTTGCTATTTTTTTAAGTCTGGGAACTCCCAGTAGCTTCACAAACAAGACTCCATTTATCCAACAAACATCTTTATGGGGAAGCTGCATTCCATGAACATTTTTTGAGCATCTGTTATGTACATGCTACTGTGCGGGGTGCTCTGAGGGATATGAAGATGTATAAGACAATCTTTCTCCTCAAGAAACAGAGTCTAGTAGAGAAGACCAATTATGCTTACAAAACACATGTAATTCAAGTAGAAAGTGATGTGTCATAAGAGAGGTGCAGGTAACTGTGCTATGAAGATTCAGAGGCAGGAGAGACCACTGCTGAGTCACGGTATAATAGGAGAATCAAGGAGGAGGCAGCAGTTGAACCTCCTAAGGATGTAGAAAATATGGATATGCCAAGAAGTAGGGAAAAGCTATTCTGGGCACCCTTCCCACAGCCTTGAGATACATGGAGAAGTGTCTGTAGCCCTGACTAGTTGGTGAGCTCCTAAAAGGCAGGGACTGTGTTTTGGTCAGTGTTTGACTCCCCCACATGGCACAAAGTGGGCACGCAGTAAATATTAGTGAGTGAATAGAGGCTATGAGTTTCCTGCAGGGAGGAACCAAGCTATGGTCTCTATATTACCCAGAGGCTGTTTTATTAGATGGGCATGCCTCTTTACAGCCCCTCTTGAGGGGGAGAATGTGAACAGGCAGACGATTATGGGGCAAGGGCGATACTGTTGACATATTTAATATGGTACCAAACAGCTGAGAGCCCAACAAGTTCTCATAAACGAATAGGAGGGTTCGTGAGCCTCCTTCCCTGGAATCAAGGTGAAGAACCACAGGGGAGGAAACTGAGGCACAGGATTATGAAGCAGTCTGAATACTCCTTTGGCTCTTGTGTCCATTCTTGGCTCTTTTTCTAAGGCCCACTCCTCCCGAGGGACAGTTATCTCCCATCTGTGACCCACTTGGGAGTGGAAAACCATGTCCACCACATCAATGATTGCCAAGGCCTGCAGCTGCAAAAGAATGAAGTTGGCTTTAGCAGCACCATCTTCAGGCTGACTTTCGGGGCCCTGCCCTTCTCCAGTCCTGCCCAGGGCTGAGCCTGTGTCAGGAGCTAGTGCTGAAGTAGACCCCTCTGAGACAGGTGTCTAGTGACCTTCAGAGAGGAGAACTACCTCAGGACCTGGGATGCAGGTGTCTCTTGAGGAGGGCATGAGTGTGAGAAGATTGAAAGGAGGATGACTTGAGGATAGGGCACATCCTTCCAAGTCCTGTTTAACTCATCCAAGGTCTAGATTTCCTCTAGAATCCTGTTGCCCAGAGGGTGCAGTCATCCTCAGAACGAGGAAGCTGGGGAGAGGTTAAGTAGATACAACCAGAGAGGGGATAGAGCACAACTGACTGCCTTTTTTGTCCCTAGATAGTGGATGGTGCTGGACTTCTAAGGACCACAAATGCTTCTTTTCCTGGAGCTGCACCCTGAGGTGAGCTATTACATCATTTTTCTGTCAGCCTGTGCTCCCACATGGAGCCTTGCTTTTCCTCTTCATCCTGCCTCCCCACTTTGCTTGCTCTCCAGTGGCTGCAGGTAAGTGCCGCCAGAATGTGTCAGGATTCCTTTGTAGCTAAGTACCATGTGAAGCCTTAGTAACTCCAGGCCTGGCGCTTGAGAGGAGGTTGTGAGAGCTCAGTGCCTACATCAGCCTTCTTCTGGGGCATTATGAGTCCTTTACAATTTATAAAACTGTGTCACTTTCCTGTGATCTCATTTTATCTCAACAACAGCTGGAAGCTCTTGTACTATAACTTTCACTTTTCCATATGAGGGGTCTGAGTGCTTGGGTTATAGGTCAGAGAGCCAAATGATGGCACTGAGACCAGTGATCTCTCCACTGCCTCTGTTATCACTGAAGGGATGCCATCTGGCTGCTGGCAAGGCCACGGTCCTAGGCTAACCTGAAACTAGACCAAGACTCTCCTTCTTTCCCATTTCAGCCAGAATTTCCTGCCCATTTTCCTCAGTTTTCCATCCCAGCCCAGGTTATCTCTGTCAGACAAAGTTGATCAGAGCCTGTCATTCTCCTGCCCTTGCTAGACACGGACTTGTTCTCACAGCAGCAGGTCCCATCAGAGAGCTAGTGCTCCTCCCCTTGAGTCTGCTAGGTTTGCCCTCTCCCAGGCGGGCACCCTGTATAGCTGGGATGCTTTAGGGGATTCTGCATCTGGGCTAGAGGAAGAATAGGAAAGCTGGTCTCTCACTGGGCGGGGAGGGAAGTTAGCAAAAGTTTGACTGAGGAAACTGGCCTGGGTGGTAATGCCACACCACACCCCATCGGCACCCTTGGCAGCAGCTCAGTGAGCCTCAAAGGTAAAGGTGGTGAGGTGGGTATGGCAGGGAAGGGCACAACAAGTTGTAAGCCCAGGCTAAAGCAGCATCCCACGTGCTGGCCTAACTCAAGCCAGACACAGTTGTGGGAGTGGGTTCAGCTTTGGGTGAAGGAGGATGCCCCTGGAGGCTCAGGTGGGGAGAGGGGGCTGATTATATGCATCCTACATAATTTATCTTCATATGGCCTGAGAAGGCTTAGAGCTGGGCAGATCTAGCCAGGACAGCACATACTGCTATGCAGCTCATCTCCTGGTTTGGTGGACTGGCTCTCATCCTATGAAGGCCCACAAGTGACCTTTTCCATACCCTCCACCCTCACTTGTGGCTCAACTAAATGCCTCCTCTAGCTCTGTTCACAGATGGATGATCTCATCGTCCCAAATGTTCCTATGCTAGGTGGACCTCTACCTCCTCAGATTGTCCTCCTTCCTGCTGACCAGTGACCTTTTCCATACCCTCCACCCTCACTTGTGGCTCAACTAAATGCCTCCTCTAGCTCTATTCACAGATGGATGATCTCATCGTCCCAAATGTTCCTATGCTAGGTGGACCTCTACCTCCTCAGATTGTCCTCCTTCCTGCTGACTCAAAGCTCTTTTTTTCAACACAGAAATGGGAAATTGGGAGTGAGGCTGAGTGCCATGGTGGATACAGTAAGTGGTTAGGGGGCAACAGATGGAATTACTTTGGGGTCATTGGGATCCCCGAGCTGGTGAGCAGAGATCCCCCTACCCAGGTACTGCTGAGTATCACATTTGGTGGGTGGGGCTGGCCTAGAGTGAGGCGTACATACTGTCACTACAGCAAGATCTGCAGGTTGTTACACTGGCCCACCCACCATCCTCTTCTAGCCTCATCCTCCACCTCAGCCCTCCGTGTTTATTCATCTCTCCCTTCTCTTCCTCCTCTCCTCCCTCTTGGCAGTGCCAGCAATAGTTGCCGACCACAGGGTCACATACCCTTGCCTGACCCACCCACAGCTGAGCTTCCTAGAAATGCTTGTGTTGGCTGCACGCTGCAGGACTTGTGCTCCTGGGCTGATAGGTCTGATTCCTCTCCTTTTACAAAGGAAAAAGGACTCAGATGAGAGACGAGGTTAGGGCAAGAAGACTAAGAACTATGTTGAGGCTAGATGGGAAGGAGCTATGTTGAGGGGGTGCTACCTGAGAAGAACTGAAGGCCCCAGTAACCTGAGAGAGCCATAAGAGCGTGAAGGTCCCTGAGAATGGGTGTGTGGCCACTTGAGGCTGGTCTGATGGAGGGTCTGTCCTCGGAAGGAGAGTTCTGTTTCTCTTTGGACCCCTGTTTGAGTCTGATGGACTGTGAAGGATCCATTTGATAGGAAGGCTGAGATAAACAAAATCTTGAGTTCCAAACCAGCCGCTCCTGCTGACTTCGATTTTCTCTAGTCTCCTGCACCCAGGTATAAACCTCAGGGTGATAACTCTCACTTTCTACATTTAATCAGTTATCAAATTCTGATGGTTCTTCATAGAACAGTTGCCTTTTAGTCCCACTTCCTCCTCCTACCTTCCCTGTTCCCTTGACTCAACCACTGTAATAGCCTCCTAACTGGTTGTGCCCTTCAGTCTGTCCGAAGCATCATGACTAAATTCACCTTTCAGAGCTATTCTATCACTGCACAGGCATTACTCCCATGTTCCATGCCTTTGGCAGTGTTCTCCGTTGCCTGCCAAGTGCAGTACAGGTTGTCTGTTCTTTTACTCGGGGCCTTTCCCAATCTGGCACCAGCCCACCTTCATGGCTTTATCTTCCAGAACGTCCTACTGTGTACCTTTCACTGTGATCAAACTAGACTACTGTGGGCCGGCCCGTGGCTCACTCGGGAGAGTGCGGTGCTGATAACACCAAGGCCCCGGGTTCGGATCCTATATAGGGATGGCCGGTTCGCTCACTGGGTGAGCGTGGTGCTGACAACACCAAGTCAAGGGTTGAGATCTCCTTACCGGTCATCTTTAAAAAAAAAAACAAAAAAAAAAAAACTAGACTACTATTTCTCAAAAACACATTTTCTACCTCTTCACCTTTGCTTATGCTGTTCTCTCTATCTGGGAGGGTCCCCTCCAGCATTCATTTCACCATTTAAAAAATATCTATTGAGCACTTTCTTTTTATTTTGAAAAATTTCAGACCTCTAGAGAAGTTGAAATAATAATATGATGAACATGCATATACTCTGCATATAGATTCATCAGTTATTGTCACATTTCTTTCTTCTGTTTTTTTTTCCCTCTGGATCCATTGAAAATAAGTTGCAGGAATTGTGACACTTCACCCCTGACTATTTTGGCTCATATCTCCTAATAATGATGACATTTTCCTATGTAACCACAATATCCTTTTTTTATTAAAAAAAACAGAATTGTGGTAAAGTGTACACAACATAAAATTTACTATTTTAGCCACTTTGAGGTGTATAATTGTGGCATTATGTACCTTCACAGTGTTATGCAACCATCACCATTATCCATTTCCAGAACTTTATCATTACAAACAGAAACTCTGTATTCATTAAACAGTAACTTCCCATTTCCCTCTGATAACCTCTCACACTTTGTCTTTGTGAATTTACCTCTTCTAGTTACCTCATGTAAGTGGAGACCCACATTATTTGTCCTTTTGTGAGTGGCTTATTTCACTTAGCATGATGTTTTCAAGGTTCATCCATGTCGTAGCATGTATCAGAATTTCATTTCTTTAAGGCTGAATAATATTCCCTTGTATGGATATACCACATTTTGTTTATCCACTCATTTATGGATGGACATTTGGATTGTTTTAACCTTTGGATATTGTGAATAATGCTGCTATGAACGTCGGTTTACAAGTGTTTGTTTCAGTCCCTGCTTTCAGTCTTTTTGGGTATATACCTAAGAGTGGAATTGCTGGATCATATGGTAATTCTATGTTTAACTTTCTGCAGAGCTGCCAGACTTTTCCATAGCAACCAAGAAATTATGATGCAATATTGTTATATAGCCTACAGACCATGATTACATTTCCCTAAATATCCCTAAATTTTCCATTACAGCTTTTTAGAAAAATTTGATCCAGGATCCAATCAGGGATTACAGATTATGTTTGGTTGTCATGTCTCTTCATTCTTCTTTAATCTAGAATAGTCTTCCTGCCTTTTTTTTAAATAGGTGAAATTAATTTTAATATTATAAATACAACATATACAGAATATTAACATTTTAGTATATAACCAGTATAAAATTATTAATGAGATACTTTGTATTTCTTTTATTTTTTTTTAACTTTTAAACTTTTATTGAATCAAAATTGATTAAACATATTTTTGGGGTTCAACATTGACATATGTTGATCAAATCAATATTACTAGAATATATATTGTTACAAATCATACTTATTCTTTATGCCACATGTCCAATCTCTCCCCATCCCCCTCTCCCTCACCCCTCTAATTACCCTAGATTTCTTCTCTCCCTCTGAAAGAGTAATGGTTACTCTGTTGATTTGTTGCCTAGATGATCTGTCCAATGCTGAGAGGTGTGTTCAGGACCCCCAATATTGTAGAGCAGATACTTCTTATGTCACTCTGGAATGAGCTTTGTGAAGAGAGACATCCTCTTCTTTTCTTTATCTCTGCTGGCGACTCTCCTTGTGTCAATGCACTCCAGTGGTTGGCGGACCATCTGCATGGTGGTTGTGGCATCTAGCCACTTTTGTGGCAGCCGTGGTTATTGTGGTGGGCCACCTACATGGAGGTGATGTTTTTGGCATGCTCCTTGGCATTGGTGGTGTGCCTGGTTGTGGGGAGGGGTCTGGTCCGCAGATCCATGCCTCGGGTCCCCTGGCAGGCCTTGGGGCACTGACATGGTGTGCCTGGTTGTGGGGAGGGGTCTGGTCCGCAGATCCATGCCTCGGGTCCCCTGGCAGGCCTTGGGGCACTGACATGGTGTGCCTGGTTGTGGGAGGGGGGTCTGGTCCCCATTTCCATGCCTCAGGTCCCCGGGTGGGCTAGAAGGCCCTGGTGTGGTGTGCCTGGTTGAGGGAAGGGGGTCCAGTCCCCTTCTCCATGCCTTGGGTCCCTGGGCGGGCCCCAAGGTG